GTCAGTGAATCAAATACTTCAGCAAATTCCATGTGCCGCTGCACTGTCTGTTGTGACCCAGGAAGACTAATACTGTACTCTTGCTTGGGACTTGACAAAGATCTAGAATCTGTTGCAGTTAGATTTCCCTATTCTTAAGCTCAGTACAGCTTAAGAGGCCACTTTCTGGAGAGTCTTATTGTAATACTTTGTTTAACGTCAACTGTGGTATGGATAATCAGGTATCAAATGGCTAAGCTGAGCTCTGCTCGCAGAAGAATTCACACTGGCAGTTGCTTTGCAAATTACTTCTAATTTAGAAGTGGCTGAGAGTCCAAAATCAGAGCATAAGACATTTGCCCTATTCTCTCATGTCTAGACCAGATCTGAAATACAATTTAGTAGGTCTTAGAGAAATTTAGGTGCCACAGATCAAAATTTTAATTCTGAAAATGATCACTGATCAGGCACACGACTCTTCAGTCTTAAACCACTTCCCATGTGTTTTATGTTATGTTTCTGTCTATGCCTGTAAGTGACAGGATTAAGCTGTTCAGCTCCTGTTTCATAGTACCTTCAGGCTTTGAAGCTCAGCATATTTTACAGGGCACCCAAGGACTTATTTGTAGGATTCCAGATTCTGCTTTGGGAGCCAAAGCTCCTGAGTTGGGCATTGCAATACTCAGTGCTGTGAGAAACCTATCTCTTTTTATCTCTAGTCTCATAGAAGAAAGTCAGGTTAATTGCTTTTGAAAGGGAAGCAAATGAAGGTTTCACTGATTCCTTTTGAAAATATTGTCACTTGTTCTTAGCTTTCTTAAAGGTCTCAACTCACCTTCTCTTGAAGTCAGTGGTTTCTTTCCAGTTACTGCAATTGGAGTTTGAGTAGACTTACATGGAATTGTCAGCGGTTCACTATCAGCTGCTTGTTTCTGGCACAGTGGGAAACTAAAAGCACCATTTCTTTAAAATATTATTAAAATTATTTGGATCTCATCAAAGCCTCACAGCTTTTTCTTTTCTTTTTTTTTTTTTTTCTTTTCCTGCTATTACTCACTTTTCTACTATATTCCCACTAAATTCAAAGCCTTGACACTTTTATATTCCTACTTGTTCATAGGGGAGAAGGTAGAGAAACTGGGAGTGAAGCTGAGCCCGGGAAGAAGGGAGAGGTGGGGGAAAGGTGTTTTGAGATTTGTTCTTGTTTCTTATTGTTCTACTCCATTGCTAACTGGCAATAAATTAAATTATATTCCTGGAGTTGAGTTTCATTTGCCTGTGATGGTAATTCAATTGTTGTGTGTTCTCCCTGTCCATATGTCTACCCAGGAGCCCTTTGTCCTATTTTTCTCCCCTTGTCCAGCTGAGGAGTGATAGAGCGGCTTGGTGGGCACCTGGCAGCCAACCAAGGTCAACCCAACACAGCGCTGAAAACCAAAGTTCCATTAAGCTTGTTGTTGTGTTCTCTAATATTTTTCTCATATCTTCATTTTCATTTCGTTTACTGTATTTCCACTGATTGTCTGTCTTCATCTCTGTGGACTTTCTATATCTGCTTCAAAGAAAATAAATTCTAGACTATGTAATAAACTTCTCTTCTAGTAGTCCTAGCATTACCACAGCCTAGACAGCTCTTCAAACTCTTGAAAGTCCTTTAATTTATAGTTATGTGTTTACCTTATATTGAAAAATTAGTGTCTTTATATTGTATCTTGTTCCAAGTAAGCCTGCCATGGGATGAACAGTTAAAATGTCACAGGGACAACCATTTATGTGTTGCATGAGTTATCATGCAGATTATGCATACTAACTTCTACATATTTCATACATTAACATGCAGCCTGCAATATGTATTTACTGTCTATTTCTATATGCTTGTATTTTGCATCTGGTCTGAAAACCTATGTACACTTCACACTGTACATAGATAACAGACACTTTAGACAGGTATTCTTTATGACATGAAATATCTGTGAAAAGAGGAAAGCTACTACAAGTGAGTGGTGGTTATAAAGAATTTGGTTTTGCTCTGAAAAGCTGGAGCTGCACAGTTTTAATAAAAAAGAGTTGCTGGAACTTGACATATTTGGTGGGTACAGAAATTGTGCTTCTTGTTTCAAACAAATTCATGTTGTGGTGCCTTTATCCTACAGTATTTTCAACTAAAATGTCAAAATCCCATTAAGGATTTAGGAAACAAGTACTGTTTTCCTCAGTATTTTCCCTAAATGTCTTGTTTCTTTGCATTCAAGCATTTATCAATGTAAAATTGTCTATTTTCTTGTAATACATGGAAAAAACCAAAACAACAGAATGGGTCTAAATAATGTCCAAGTGATTTGTATATCATTTTGTTGTGGGAACTTTTTAACTTTGATCCCACGTTGCCCTATTCCATTAAACTAAAATGTAGCAATATCATGAACATTTATCCTTCTTGGAACTACATGATGTTCTGGCGCTTAAAAAAAGTTTATTTTGTTTCCTTTTGATTTTTAGTAAAAGATAATTCTCCGCATTCCTAACTAAGCCAATTTATCCCTTGACACCTTTCAATACAGATACTTACCAGGCTTTGGGTCATGGCCACTCTCTGTTAAAAGATAACTCGAGGACATTCCATTCACCTTTGATCACCAGTACTCCTTAAGTGGCCATAAAACTTGGGAATTAATGCATGTGTCCATTAGGATTACTAAGAGGTATAATTAATACAAGGGGGGTGGGGGGTGAGAGAAGCTGCAAAATTGGTCAGAAGTATGGAAAAGCTTCAAAATGAGCAAAGACTGATATTTTAGTAGTCTTTAGTCCAGGAAGAAGGAACACAACTGAAGTTTCCATAATAATAAAAAGTGCAAGGATGCGCATGTTACTGTATGCTTTAAAACAGTGCAAACACAAAGGACTTTAAGGACACCTTAGGTAAACCTGTTTCCATCACAGAATGTGTTAAAGTTGTGTAGCTCATTGTGATGAGGTATGACTGATGTCAAGAGCTTTGCATAATTAATTAACAAGCGTACATTTGTCTCACGCATGTGTATTCCATCACAACAGATGTGATAAAAATACAGAGATATGAGTTGTCATGTAACTTGGCATGTTACCTTATGTGTGATGATATGTGGCAGGTACTGCACTAGACATGCTTACTGCTTAATCTTCCTTTGAAAGTAGTTGTTAAAAAAAACCACTGACTGGATAGAGCAATTTCTCTGTGTGTACTAATGTAACAAAATTTTTAAAGAATTAACAGTTTGCTTGTGTGAAATTTTATTTCTCCCTTTCTCTCTTGTAGCACCTCTGCATGTTCAGTCTTGTGTTCATACACTGCTTTTTGGCATTAATATCTACAGGATTATTAAAATAGTATCTGTCTGTCTTTTTAACTTATGCTGAACCAAAATTAATTGGTTCATTTTAATTACAAATCATCTTCCCAGACAATATTTTTAATAGTAATTCAGCATCAGGAGTTACTTTTCCAAAGTTTTAACAATTGCAAAACCTCTTTTATCTCTGGGGATGGAGTCATAGAGCAAGTCTATTAGTTTGTAGACGTCTAATGAAAACATGTCAGTGCTGCCACCTTTTGGACATTTTCTGAGTACTTGTTGCAGAAAACTCTGATCTTATTAACGAGGACATTATTCATGAGGGATGGGGGGAAAACGTCAAAGAATTAAGTTTGAAAAAACGTCCTTCTGCGGACTTTGATTGCATCCTTCTCAAAAAGCACAAGCACAAATACAGGCTGGGCAGAGGATGGATTGAGAGCAGCCCTGAGAAGTGCTTGGGGGTGTTGGTTGATGAGAAGCTCAACGTGAGCCAGCAATGTGCTATCACAGCCCAGAAAGCCAACTGCATCCTGCTCTGCATCAGAAAAAGTGTGGCCAGCAGGTCAAGGGAGATGATCCTGCCCCTCTACTCTCCTCTGGTGAGACTCCACCTGGATTATTGCGTCCAGCTTCAGAGGCCCCAACGTAAGAAGGACATGGACCTCTTGGAGTGAGCCCAGAAGGTGGCTACAAAGATGATCAGAGGGCTGTAGCACCTCTCCTAGGAAGAGAGGTTGAGAGAGTTGGGGTTGTTCAGCCTGAAGGAGAGAAGGCTCCGGGGAGACCTTATACCAGCTTTCCACTACTTAAAGGGGGCCTACAGGAAAGATGGAGATGGACCCTTCATCAGGGAGTATAGCGATAGGACGAGGCGTAACAATTTTAAACTGAAAGAGGGTAGATTTAGATTAGACATTAGGAGGAAATTCTTTTCTGTGAGGGTGGCGAGGCACTGGAACAGGTTGCCCCAGGAAGCTGTGGATGCCCCATCCCTGGAGGTGTTCAAGGCCAGGCTGGATGGGGCCTTAAGCAACCAGGTCTAGTGGGAAGTGTCCTTGCCCATGGCAGGGGGGTTGGAACTAGATGATCTTCAAGGTCCCTTCCAACCCAAACCATTCTATGATTCTATGAAAAACGCATTTGTGCTCACAAGCACACAGCTTTGTGAGTGTACAGGGATCTCCCTGCACTAAATTTTAGCATTTATATATTCATCATAATCTTTTACCTGTCTTTGTTATCATGCTTCTTGAAATGGAAAAATTATCAAAAACTTTGTGTAGTAATCTGACAACAAAATTAGAAAACAAAGACATATTCCAGCAATGTAACTAGAAACAAGACAACATTTAATTTAAATAAAAAAACTTTATTAACAATGTAAAACATTTAATATCTTACAATCTGAGATAATTCTGGCATGCCCTGTAAGAGATAATACTTAGTGATATGCAGGCACCATGCTTTGAACTCTATTGGAAACAAAATGGGTTGGTGTTGTGTTTTACATTGTTTATTTTAATACACCTTCTTTAATAAATTATTTATTTTTTGAAAAAGCTTATAGAGATACTATTGACTTAGAAGGAAATCTGTTGCTTCTACGCATTGTACAGTATGTAGATATTATGATTACTCTGTATTTACAAGTTCTAAGTTTTTTCATATATGGATTGTGTATCATAAATTAAGATATTTTTCTATGAAGCTTTTAAATTGAGATATAGTGGAAGACTAAATATGAATGAGAGCACAAAACGCAACTGGAGATTTTGTGCAAGTTCTGTTACAATATTGTTTAAATGTTTTAGAACTTCAATACTTTTGCTGTTAAATAGTTTTCTATGCTTAAAGACTGGTAAAATATGATCAAATATTTTAATATGATACTAGGAAGAGTACTGTACTATGCACAAATTTTAGCTGCAGTTCAAACAATAAAAAAACCTTTAAAATTATCTATTAACCATAATTCATGTGTCTTTTCTCTGAGTGGTTGAAAGTAAGCATGCAAAACATACTTTAAAAAGTTTTAAAAACATTCTTAGTTATGCTAGATCTATTCCACAGCTGGTTTTTGACCACCATAATTTTAAACTATTAAAACCCTTATTTTGAAAAGGTGGATGGAGCAGAAGAGAAAAAGGAATAGGCTAGTGTAGAAAATGTACTTTATAATCAAGAGTAGCAATGTTCATCTTTTCAGTGGTCAAACAATAGTGGTTTAATCAAAGTTATGATTTTCTTGGTGCTTCTGTACTTGATCTTCTAACTTGAGACAAGACAACAAAGTCCAAAGAATCTTCGCTTCCGTCTTCTTACCAATGGATACGGAGTCAAGTTGAGGAGGCTGCTATCATCTGCAATGAAAAACCCGCGTTTTAATACAAGCACGTACACACGCATACACACACTAGTTTACTTCATTTATGTGTCCTAACAGCACCTACATGATCAAGTAATAGATCTCGTTGTTCTAGGTATAAAGTAAATAATAACCGGAATTTTTTATATGAGTCTTACAATGCTAATTATCAGGATATCCATAATAATGCAATAGAAATTTTGGCAAGAACAATACCAGTTCAATGACAAAACCTAAAGGAAATTACACCTCTAGTACTGGGAGACCTAACCCACAATATTCCTGCATGGAGGAATAACGTTAGGATCTCAAATAAAACCTAAAGATAAGTAGCTTGAGATCTGGCAGACACGCAAGTTTGGAAATTTCAATTTGAAGGTTAAATTCTGGCCTAACTCAAACATAAAACAACCCACTTTACTGAGTGGCCATTTGTGCACATCAGGGAGAATTTCCATTTAAAACTGCAAAACTGGAACATTGTGGCACATCAAGAGAAAAAGCCCTTCTCTGGAAAAGTTAGTACGGTATGCTCACCCTGTGTCATGCCCTGTCGGTGAGCTATCTCGCAAAATCTTTAGAATTCACTTTGAATTTGAGCCATCTTCAAGGATGGTTTCAGGCTAAGAGCTATGCTTCATAATGGTCTATTCTGGTTACATCAGGGACCTAGTTTTGACTGCAGGTTCTAGACACTACTGTAACACAAATACTTAACTATAAGAACATAGGTAAGAGGTCATTTAATATTGTGACTTATGCTTATGAACCACATCAACTAAATTTCTTAGCATAGTAACTTTTCTGCTGTCACTTAAGAGAATTCCATACAAGGTCTATGAGGAGTCAGTAACATTTTGTACAGCTTTTGTGGGCTTGCAACCTTAATGCTGTTCTGGCTGTCACTGAAATCAACAGCAAAACGCTCAGTCATTTACTGAAAGCAGGATTGGATTCAAGTTATGTCAGGGGAGGTTTAGATTGGATATTAGGAAAAATTTTTTCACTGAAAAAATTATTAATTATTATTAAACATTGGAATAGGCTGCCCAGGGAAGTCGTGGATTTGCCATCCCTGGAGGTGTTTAAAAAAAGGGTAGATGTGGTACTTGGGGACGTGGTTTAGAAGTGTTTTTGTCAGGGTAGGTGAATGGTTGGACTTGATGATCTTAAAGGTCCCTTCCAACCTCAGCAATTCGATGATTCTATGATTCTAAAGATAAACTCATTCAATGGCATTCATTCATCTCGTCATCATTCTCTTAAACAGTGCTTGTAATTCATACACGTCAAAATTACAGTCCACACCATATTAATCACGTATATGTTGGTTGTTTGTTGTATTTACTTATACTGTTATCTAGCTTTAATTAATTAAAGGTCTTGGAATATTTAAAAAATTTTAAGGGCTGTATGAATCATGAGTATGACTGTCCATTCCTGAGGCATCCATTCTCAGAGGTTATCTGTAAACTATGATCCCAGTTGGAGTTTGTGGGAGCTACAAAAACACCATTTATGATTACCTGATCCTGGGACATGTCTCAGACATTTTAAACACTAGCTGACATATTTCCTATCCTGCTGCACAGGTGATCAGTGATTTTCTGGCCAGTATTGAAGGGCAGTGTAGACATCAGACAGCAGAGAAGAATTCTGTATGCCTTTAGCTCTGTTCTGAATTCAAGTCTCTATATGCTTTATATCCCCCAAATTTGCCTTTTTCTTCCTTATTTCCACCACGCTCCTTTCTTCTAGGCTAGACATAGAGTTTATGGCATTTTTCCAGTCTCTACAATGGCACATCTGCATCATGTATCATAAGCAATTCCCCTTCTCTGTTCACATAGTTTTCCATCAACCCATCCTGCCAGAAACTCTTACTCGTATAATGAATTCAACCTTCCTATATTCATCTCTTACCATGTCATGATGAATGCTACACTGCTTAGTCACTTGGGACAAGATCTAGGACAGATTAGGCGTACTGCATCAGCTGTCACTGTGCAAAGACTACACAGAGTTTAAGAAATACACATTATCAAGAAGAAATCAAAAAGGAAAATTAATATCTTTTAAATGTTGTTCACATGAAGAAAGGGAGTCCCTGTATGTGGAACATGTAACACTTCTGGGCCACAAAATGAGGGCCCACTGCTAAATACATGCACAGGATGGAGATCCTGCCCCCTGTGCATTTGTATAAGATGCCTTATAGCTGGCTAGCAGGAAAAGGAGTACCTTATCTGCATAGGGTCAGTGCCATGTCACAGAAGCTACAAGCCTTGTGAGGGTAAAGCAAACCCCACCACGTAGTAGGATCCCTCTCATAATCCGTGCAATTTACACCTTCATTAGCTTTGAAAAAGAAAGCCTTCTGACACAGGGAATTAGTTGTGTTGCTGCCTTCATGTCACCAGGAAAATCTATTATTTTATCTATAGATACCGTATCAATAAAATTCCAGAATACCTCATGTGAAACTCGAGAGGCCAAAGTTCACATACTAAATTCTGGCTCCACTGAATCAGTAGGGAAGGGACTTCACCTAGATTTTTCTCTTTGTAACTTCTGCAAGAAACCCCTACATTTTTTGGATGTAATGGAAGGCAAAACCTTTAATTATCTTAATTTTTCTTACATGAAGAAAATACAAAACCTACCTTGATTTTTCAGTGGTAAAGGCATAGTCTCCCTGAGTTTACTTAAAAGGTTTTTCATTTCTCTCATATCTCTGTGGAAACAAAAGTTGAAAGAGATACAATAGAACAGCAGTTGAAGACTGAATGAGGAATGGCTTACAGTATGGCTTTATATGCTGAAATAATAGAGCAATAAATACAAAAATCTATTAGGCAAGCATTTGGATCACATACATGTATCAGAAGATGCATACCAAAATAAAGATTTAATAAGGGAGCACTTTTACGCCAGTCTGACATTAACTAGTCACATCTGGTCCAAATTTGTGATCACTTGAGTGTTCCATATTAAATGAGTTGGCATTTTATTGTGCCTTAAAATTAGTGCAAGCTACTAGTAATGTCAACTTAATACCCCTTATCAGCATTTTGTAGCTTGTGCCATGAATGTGTTTCATTGTTAAGAAAGAAATTATAATACATGTAGCTAATCCATGACACTTTAGCTCCCCCCACATTAAGTGAAAATTTCAGAAACATGGCTTTCACTCTCACTCCTCTTAGAAGGACTCTGGCAGGAAATTTTCTAAAAGGCACAAGATGGAAAATATGATAAGATATCATCTCACAAAGCAAGTTGCATTTGGATATATTTTGAGAGAGGCCAGAAGTTGCAAAAAGTTTCCTGTTTTACAGATAGGTTGCAGACCAGCAATTTTGTGTGCAGGCTTGTAACGTCTCAAGGCTTTCAGGATTTAAAAACAATGTGGTCTTGCCTCATTCATCTACACATAAAATAGTTCTTAGAAATGAAGCAGCATGACTAATAAGAAATTGCTCAGTTTTATTCTCCAAGTTACTCTCTCAGTAGAACAGGACTTCATTTTATATAAATAAACATGGTAACCATTAAAATCTCAGCAGCAGCTTAATACACAAAGCCATCAAAATAGGTATTTTTTGCAAACAAATGTTGGCCACAAGGATTACTCCCTACTAAAGGGTCTCATTTTTTTTGTCTTTGAACTGCATAGTTAAGGGGGTAAGACAAACCTGTGGGTGATGTTCCCTTCCCTCCTAAGGCTTCCACTACATAACTACAGGCAGAAACAACTGATATGGACTAGATTCTGTGTTTTCAATTTATGAATGCAGAACTGTGGGTCAGCACATTTCACGTACAAAATCAGAAACCACTCAAGATGAGACAAAAGCTGCCTCTTTTAGAGAATCTGACCCACTAGCAACTTCATTTCCCACCCTTTGTTTTTTGACAATTATCCTTTGGTAATTAGCCTAATTAAGGATGTCACTTCTCTCCACCCTTCTTTTAGGAGTTGCTCTCAGATATGTTATATGTAACAGAAATGTTAACAGGTTATTTCAATTACTAATACCTTTAATAGTAGCAACACTGGCTGCCTAATTGGAAAAAGACTACAAATCCTAGACAGAAAATGGTTTTGTTAAGGAATGAAGAGTTACACATACCTTTCAGTGTTTTCAATATCTGTGGAAACCTGCCATAAATGTTGTTGAATATCTGTTGGTGATGATGATGTGTCTTCTAAAATAGGTACTTCGGAACTTTCCTCCACTTTAGTATCTAGGACCTTGGGTGGGGCACAAGGTTCTTTTCCTTTAAAGTATTTAAACAAAATATATATCCCCATTATTTATTAATTAAAATCCATACTCAGATTATATCATTCATTTTTTGACCTTGATCTTGCACAGTATAAATAACAAGAGAGTGCTGAACACAAAATCTGAGTAAGAACTGTTCAGAAAGAGAGCAGACTGCACCGATCTGCTAATCACAGGGCTGCTATATTTAACTCCTACCAAAGAAAACTGAGAGAAGTCCCATGCAGGCATGTGCGAAGCTTTGAATTTTACACAGTAAGTATTATGAAGGGTTTCAGTTAAACTCCAGTGGCTCACATGACACAAAAGAGCCAGAAGATAAAACAGAACAAATTAAATAAGGAAACTACAGCACACATTCTGAAAGCAACTTCAAAAATTTTGACACTAAAGAACATTACAATCCATGTCTCCTAGTATTACACCAATACTAAGGGAAAACAAAAGACAAAAATGTGCAGTTTTTTACTTCACGATTTTAAAAGCAATACATAGCTGTCACCACTCACAGCCCAATACACATTATATTTTGATTTTCCATCATTACACTTGCCTAATTCATGCTCAGTATATGCAAATGAAATGCAGTGTTGAAATTTAATGGGGGCTTCATGATAGGGCTTTTGCCAGAGAGAGAATGGAAAAAAGGATCTGGACCATGATAGTGAAGCATGTAAGAGAGTTAAGTACTGGTGGGATTTTTCAGTATCCTTGCAAACCTCCTGTGGACTGTTTGATGGTATTCCTTTTCTGCTGTGGCAAGTACAGTCCTGGCACTAAGTATATTCAAATGAGAAAATTCAAATTCGAGTGCATGCCCAGCACATTACTGAGAAGTTAAAGTTTTTGCCCTCTGAGTTCTCTCATGAAATGGAGTAAACGATCTCAGAAAGAAACACATGAAACTTTTTAGAACGAGAGAAAAAAATGCCAATTTTTAAAGCAGTGGTATGAGAAGTTGAGTAGGAAGTGTTTTTTCACATCACAATTTTTGCAATTTGAAAGGTTTGACAAAGAACAGGAAGAACAAAAACAGCTAACAGAGTAGTGGTCATTTAGCCCATTTTTCTGGGATACTAGAGATCAAGGTTGCAGACAATGCTATATTGCTCTTCCACATCACAAATAAGTATCCCTGCTATCAGGCTTGTAACCTTGTTTTTTTAAAACTAGAAATTCCTGGAACTTAAGAAGCTCTTTTTGGGCAGGTTCTCTAAACTGCTGTATTCTGGTGAATTATTCCTATGCTGAAAAAACCCAACATTCTTAGCTACTTGTCTCAATATCAAACTAGACATTACTTATAACACAGAAGATACTTGCTTAATGTTTTCATTACCCTATAGAGCCAGTAGAAAGAAGCCCTTTTAGCTGCTTCATACCCCCAACCAAGTCATCTAACTGTTATTCCAAGAGATTGCATGACCTGACATTACAACCTTACCATCTATAAAAGAATTATGTCTTACGTCCGTGCTCTGCTGCTTACTTTGGCATCCACTGCTAACTTGTGCCTTGCCAGATCCCTCTGTAAGCCACTTTAACCCATCAAATGGTAGACGATTGCCCCAATAAAAGGAAAAATAAAATGTGAAGTTTTCTGATGTTGCAGTGATTTAAGTCACGTCAGTAAAGAACACTATGTGTTCCAGAACAAGTGCCAGAGGAGGAGGATGATCATATGGCCAGAAGCAGTGGCAAGGAGGAAGTGAAAGCATGATAAGGGAGGGGAGAGAGAGGAAGGGATAAGATCCTTCTGGTGGTAACAAGCTTATTATGCTGACTCAATTGCTTGTGGTACAGCAGCCTAAGCCTACTTCCCAGATTAGAAGTTTCACTGTGTATCACCCTTTCAAACTTTTCTAGTTCTTAACTGCAGTTTATGCTATTATTTTAGGGTACCTCGTATTGTAAAATTTTAATTGTTCATTTGTGTAAGCTTTATTATTCCAGTTGGCACTCAGTCACAAGTGGTGTTTTCCACGGCTCAGTATTGGAGCCTGTTCTGTTTAATAGCTTTATCAACGACCCCGACGAGGGGATCGAGAGCACCCTCAGTAAGTTTGCAGATGACATCAAGTTGGGCGGGAGTGTGGATGTGCTCGAGGGTAGGAAGGCTCTACAGAGGGATCTGGACAGGCTGGGTCGATGGGCTGAGGCCCATGGTATGAGGTTCAACAAGGCCAAGTGCCGGGTCCTGCACTTGGGTCACAACAACCCCACACAGTGCTACAGGCTTGGGGTGGAGTGGCTGAAAAGCTGTCCAGAGGAAAAGGACCTGGGGGTGTTGGTTGACAGCTGGCTGAATATGAGCCAGCCGTGTGCCCAGGCGGCCAAGAAGGTCGACAGCACCCTGGCCTGCATCAGAAATAGTGTGGCCAGCAGGACTAGGGAAGTGATTGTCCCCCTGTATTTAGCACTGGTGAGGCCACACCTTGAATACTGTATTCAGTTTTGGGTCCCTCACTACAAGACAGACATAGAGGTGCTGGAGCATGTCCAGAGAAGGGCAAAAAAGCTGGTGAGGGGTCTAGAGCACAAGTCTTACGAGGAGCGGCTGAGGGAACTGAGGTTGTTTAACCTGGAGAAAAGGAGGCTGATGGGAGACCTTATTGCTCTCTACAACTACCTGAAAGGAGACTGTAGCGAGGTGGGGGTCAGTCTCTTCTCCCAAGTAACAAGTGACAGGACAAGATGAAATGGCCTCAAGTTGTGCCAGGGGAAGTTTGGACTGAATATTCAGAACAACTTCTTCACTGAAAGGATTGTCAAGCACTGGAACAGGCTGCCAAGGAAAACGATTGCGTGGTGATCGTTTTCATTACCCTATAGAGCCAGTAGAAAGAAGCCCTTTTAGCTGCTTCATACCCCCAACCAAGTCATCTAACTGTTATTCCAAGAGATTGCATGACCTGACATTACAACCTTACCATCTATAAAAGAATTATGTCTTACGTCCGTGCTCTGCTGCTTACTTTGGCATCCACTGCTAACTTGTGCCTTGCCAGATCCCTCTGTAAGCCACTTTAACCCATCAAATGGTAGACGATTGCCCCAATAAAAGGAAAAATAAAATGTGAAGTTTTCTGATGTTGCAGTGATTTAAGTCACGTCAGTAAAGAACACTATGTGTTCCAGAACAAGTGCCAGAGGAGGAGGATGATCATATGGCCAGAAGCAGTGGCAAGGAGGAAGTGAAAGCATGATAAGGGAGGGGAGAGAGAGGAAGGGATAAGATCCTTCTGGTGGTAACAAGCTTATTATGCTGACTCAATTGCTTGTGGTACAGCAGCCTAAGCCTACTTCCCAGATTAGAAGTTTCACTGTGTATCACCCTTTCAAACTTTTCTAGTTCTTAACTGCAGTTTATGCTATTATTTTAGGGTACCTCGTATTGTAAAATTTTAATTGTTCATTTGTGTAAGCTTTATTATTCCAGTTGGCACTCAGTCACAAGTGGTGTTTTCCACGGCTCAGTATTGGAGCCTGTTCTGTTTAATAGCTTTATCAACGACCCCGACGAGGGGATCGAGAGCACCCTCAGTAAGTTTGCAGATGACATCAAGTTGGGCGGGAGTGTGGATGTGCTCGAGGGTAGGAAGGCTCTACAGAGGGATCTGGACAGGCTGGGTCGATGGGCTGAGGCCCATGGTATGAGGTTCAACAAGGCCAAGTGCCGGGTCCTGCACTTGGGTCACAACAACCCCACACAGTGCTACAGGCTTGGGGTGGAGTGGCTGAAAAGCTGTCCAGAGGAAAAGGACCTGGGGGTGTTGGTTGACAGCTGGCTGAATATGAGCCAGCCGTGTGCCCAGGCGGCCAAGAAGGTCGACAGCACCCTGGCCTGCATCAGAAATAGTGTGGCCAGCAGGACTAGGGAAGTGATTGTCCCCCTGTATTTAGCACTGGTGAGGCCACACCTTGAATACTGTATTCAGTTTTGGGTCCCTCACTACAAGACAGACATAGAGGTGCTGGAGCATGTCCAGAGAAGGGCAAAAAAGCTGGTGAGGGGTCTAGAGCACAAGTCTTACGAGGAGCGGCTGAGGGAACTGAGGTTGTTTAACCTGGAGAAAAGGAGGCTGATGGGAGACCTTATTGCTCTCTACAACTACCTGAAAGGAGACTGTAGCGAGGTGGGGGTCAGTCTCTTCTCCCAAGTAACAAGTGACAGGACAAGATGAAATGGCCTCAAGTTGTGCCAGGGGAAGTTTGGACTGAATATTCAGAACAACTTCTTCACTGAAAGGATTGTCAAGCACTGGAACAGGCTGCCAAGGAAAACGATTGAGTCACCATCCCTAGAGGTATTTAAAAGACGGGCAGATGTGGCTTAGGGACATGGTTTAGTGGTGATTTTGGCAGTATTAGCTTAATGGTTGGACTCAATGATCTTAAAGGTCCCTTCCAACCTAGATGATTCCATGATTCGTTATTCTTCCCATCACAAGAAGCCCGTAACATAACATATTGTTACCAATATCTCACTTAGCACTTTTTTTGTAAAAGAGGGCTGCTCCAGGGAGACCATCTTAATTTGCCACTGATATCACCAGGTGTTACTGCTGTAACTGGGTATTAATTAATTTCCCCATTATTTTGAAGTGTTATGTTGGAACTCCCACCCAACCTTTGGCGATATGCTGTCAAGAACAACCCTGTCTATAGATGCATCCTTCAGGGATGTGAAAGGTGTTTCAATGGAAACAATAACAATGCTAGATGAAATAATAGGAATGGTTCCTTTTTGCAACATGAGAACCGAAGCACCGAGACTGTAACGTTCTTTTTGTTAGCACAAAGGCAAGCTCTTGCAGATTTAGCAGAATGAACGACACAGATTTCTTTTCAACTGAAAAACGCTCTTTACCAGTAATTCTGTTGTATTGTGAACAATTCATGAAGCCTTTCTTGAATTTCAGAGCATCTGCTCAATCACTTGAAAACAGTTAAAGAGTCAGCTAATAATAAAGGCTTTGCTTGAATAATGTA